GCAGCTCTGTGTGTCTCCTTTTTTGGTATTTTCACGCAAATTCTTCTGCTAGTTGGGGTTTAGTCCACTTTTGTATCCTTCCCTTAAAGGCTCAGGGGTCCAAGATTATCTTCTGTGTCTGTGTTAATTGGTTTCCCTCTTCTTTGTTGAAGAGGGTCTGTGCAATCCTTCTGCCTAGTCCTCCATCTTGGTGGAACTCTGCTGCACAGGATTTTCAGTGGCTAATTTTTTGGAATTAGATCACCAGAACTTTCTTTTGAGGTACCTCTGGATGGACCTGAAACCTCCAATCTTTCAATTAGCAGCCGAGTGCATTTACTGTTCACACCATCACTGAAAACCTGTTCCTGTTGAGTTGATCCGGATTAATGGCAACTCTATAGGGCCAAGCAGAGCTGCCCCATAGGGTTCCTGTGATAGTTGGAGCTGTGTGTCAACTTGGCTGGACCACAATTCTGTGTGGTTTAAGCAACTGTGATGTGGGTTGTTCCAATGATGGGATCAGATTTATATGTTTTGAACAGCCGATCTGCTGAAAGGGAGTTTCCCCAGGGGTGTGGCCTGCTTCCCGTATATTTATGGACATCCTGGGAAAAGAGACACTCTTCTGTGGATCGGGTTCTGTTGTGCTGCCTACAACTGTCTGTGAACAAACAATCCACCATTCGGCCTGGAGATCTTGGAGTCGTCATTCACCAGAGTCAACAGCCAGTATACTGCCAGCCAACCTTGAGCTCCTCAGCCCCTGTAGCTGTGAGTCAGGAAAAGCCTCCAGCTTGACGTTTGATCCAAGAACTTTGGACTTGCCAGCTTCTATAAGTGTGTGAGCCATTTTCCTAAGACAAATTTTTCTTTCTGTCTCTATCTATATAAGTTTTACTGGTTTTGTTTCTCTAGAGAACTCAGTCTAACACAGTTCCTAAGGCTGTAAATCTGTACCAAAGCAGAATATCACATCTTTCCCCATGGAGTGGCTAGTGGGTTCAAACTATCAACCTTTTGGTTAGCAGCTGTAAGCTTAACCACTGTGCCACCAGGGCTCTTCTATCACTGAAACTGGTTTTTTCATACAGTTCTGGTAGGGATGTAAAATGATATAGCCACTGTGGGAAAAAGTTTGGTAGTTTCTTGAAAAACTAAACATGTACTTACCATATAACTAATAAATCATACCCTCTGGTGGTGTAGTGCCTAAGGCATTTGACTACTAACCAGAAGGATGGCAGTTCAAACCCATAAGCTGCTCCTTGGAAGGAAGATGAGGCAATCTACTTCTGTAGTGATACTGCCTCGGAAATCCAAGGAGGGGTCGCTATGAGTTGGAATCCACTCAATGGCAGTGAGTTTTGGTTTTGAGCATTTATCCCAGAGAAATGAAAACTCACATGCACACAAAAATCTGTACACAAATGTTCACAGCCATTTTATTCTAAGGGAGCTCTGGTAGCATAGTGCCTAAGGCACTTGACTGCTAACCAGAAGGCTGGCGGTTCAAACCCATTAGCCACTCCTCGGAAGGAAGATGGGGCAATCTACTTCCGTAGTGATACTGCCTCGGAAACCCAAGGAGGGGTTGCTGTGAGTCAGGTCCAACTCGATGGCACATAACAACAACAACAACAGGAACAAGAATGGGGCAGGGAGTCCAGAGGGGAGAAAGTCTGCTAATACAGAGGTAGCACAAGGGAGATTTTTTTTTGTGTGTGGTGATCTAAACATGGTATAAAATTGCATTGAACTGCACACACACACATATACAAATGAATGCAGATTTGAAAATGGTGAAAACTGATTAAGTTTATAGTTTAGTTAATAGCAGTGTATATACTAATGTCAATTTCCTGGTTTTGATGTTTTACTACAACTTTCAAATTGCTTGGTTCTATAGTCAACGCCAATGGAAGCAGCAGTCAGGATATCAGACGATGTATATAGCACTGGGCAAGCTGGCTGCAAGGGACCTCTTTCCAGTGCTGAGGTACAGATGTCTCCTTGAAGACTAAGGTGCACCTGAAACAAGGCATGATATTTTCAATCGCCTCATATGCATGTGAGAGATAGATAACGAATAAAGAAGACCAAAGAAGAATTGATGATTTTGAGATGTGGTGCTGGCGAAGAACGTTGAAAGTACCATGGACTGCTAAAACTAACAAATCTGTCTTGGAAGAAGTGCAGTGGGAATGCTCCTTGGAAGTGAGAATGGCCAGACTTTGTCTCAACTACTTTGATCATGTTGTCAGAAGGGACCATTCCCTGGAGAAGGATGTCATGCTTGGTAAGGTGGAGGGTCGACGAAAGAGGGGAAGGCCCTCAATGAGATAGATTGACACAGTGGCTGTGGCTATGGGGTCAAGTATAGCAGGGATTGCGGAGCTGGGGCAGGACTGGGCAGTGTTTCGTTCTGCTGTGCATAGGGTCGCTATGAATCGGAGGCGACTCAACGGCACATAACAACAACAACAATATATACCAATGCCAATTTCCTGGTTTTGATGTTTTACTACAACTTTAGGAGAGACTATTGGGGGAAGCTGGTGAAGAGTACATGGGACCCTTTGTATTATTTTGCAACATTCTATGAGACTATTATTTCAAAATAAAAATGAAAACAAAACTTAAAGTCCCAAAAAGGAAAGGAAGGTAGGCTGAATGCCTAAGCCTGATGTTGACGAAGAGGGTCAAGAGGAATATGGAGAATCAAACTGGTGCTGAGAAATATCTCCAGAAATTTAACTTTTCACCATCACTTCAGCTGTCACCAACCCTATAGCTATCCCATTCTTTATTCTGTCCATTTCAAATTATTGATTCTTAGTTATGTGCTGAGAAGAGAACTACATCTATTCCTAATGGCAAACCAATCTATTTTAGTCAATTTTAGGCTGTTACCTCTTTCAATTATTATTTTTCCCATTGTCTAACACTTCAGAGTTTGCTTCTCTGCTGTCAGAGGTGTTTTTTATTTTGCCATCTGAATTTGATGCCATTGCAGATACTAGATGTTGCCAGAAGGCTGTCCTCCAGATAACTGTCCCTTGCTCTAGCTTGTATCACTGTTTATGTTGCAATTAGCATTCAGAATATGCACTGTCATCTGATTAAAATTTATATTTTTTAATGGAGAAAGCACATGGAGAGTTGTCCGTGTGGCTGTGGCTTATCCTTGTTCTTCTTAGTTACCTGTGTCTAAATTAAGCAGAACTTCTGGGCCTCAGCTATTTCTAAATAGGCATCACGATTTACTAAGGTTAATGCCTGGGGGAACATTAACCTTGCAGACACTAATCTAATTCAGTGCCATCACAAGTGCATAATGCTAGAATTTGGACTTTTGCCAAAAAGCACTATTCAAATGAACATTCAATTGGCAAGGTGAGTGTGGACAAGAGAAGGAGAAGTCCAGAAATGGTTATACAGATATTGTAATGCCTTTCCTTTTTTCCTTTCCATCAAAGGTTATGTTTAAGCATTACAGAGAGGCACTAAATAAAATCCTCAGATTATTATGAACAAAGCCTAATGAAGGTGCTTCATCCCATTTCCATGGTAAACTCCCCATGCTTTTAATCACTCAACATTCACTGAGCATCTTTTATGTTATGGCTGACCTTGCCCTAGGGTGAGATGGGAAGATGAGTAATTGTAAACCACAGCAGTATGCACAAGCACCTCAAAAAAAAAACCAAAAAACAAAAAACAAAAAAACCAAACTCATTGCGTGGAGTCAATCCCACTCATAGCCAGTGAGGCCTTGCGTTTCTGAGGCTATATCTCTAGGGAAGTAGATTGCCCAGTCTTCTTCCCGAGGAGTGACTGGTGAATCAAATATTAGCTGAATGAAGATCCCATAAAGGTCTAACTATTAAGGAGCTCTGGTGGCATGGTGGTGTAATGGTTAATGTATTCAGCTGCTACCAAAAGGTCCAGGGTTGGAACTCACTTGCCACTCAGAGAAAGATGAGTCAGTCTGTTTCTATAAAGATTTAGTCTTGGAAACCCTATGGGGCAGTTCTACTCTATTCTATAGTGTCGCTGTGAGTCGGAATTGACTCTTTGGCAGTGGGTTTTATTAAGGTCATTAAGGAGCCCTAGGGGTGCACTGGTTAAGCGTTCAGCTGCTAAACGAAAGGTCAGCAGTTATAACTCACCAGCCGCTCTTAGGGAAGAAGGTGGCAGTCAGCTTCCCTAAAGATGACAACCTAGGAAACCCTATGGGGGAGTTTTACTCTATCCTATAGGGGGGTCTCCATGAGTCCGACTCGACCTGACGGTAGGGCATTTAGTTTATTAGGGTCACTATTTGGCTAAAGTCGCTTGAAGGGCCCCTAAGTGATGGCACATAACTGTGCAATTCCAGCCCTATAGATTATTACCAAATCTTTGCCATACAGACTTAAGGTGGGGCCTTAGGTAAGGTAAGCTGAAAATGACATGTAACACAGGGTCCAGGACCGCCGGATCTCCTGCTCCTTCTAAATGCTCACACCATGCAACTCAGTTTGCAGATACTAATGGGGTTTGCTACTTTCAAGGGCGAAGGGCCACAGCTTCCAGAAAAGGTGGCATTCGGGGTGGTAAAGGCCACAGATTGAAGGGGAAGGGAGAAGGGGAGAGGAGTGATAAACGAAAAAGCCAAGAAATCTGGCAGATAACCTTTCACCTAGGTCCCGGTCCCTTCCAGTTCCCTGGGCCGGAAACGCTTGTGACCCCAAAGTCGACCTCTTCTTAGGGTTTTGGCATTGAAGTTGAAGGTGGTACCCCTCTTCAAAAGATTTCCTCACTTCCAATCTTTCATATCGCTTTCCTCCCAGGTCGGGCCTGGTGGACTCGCGGCTTAGGGCCAGCTTTACCAGCCACGCTGGGGCGGTGACACGCAGGCGCCAGAGTTGAAGCCACGCTGGGTTTTCCTAGCCAGGTCCCCGGGCCAGGAGAGATCTGGCGCCGCAGAGCGCTTCCCGTGTGCGGGACTTCCCACAATGCACTGCGCTGGCAGTGGCGGCGACCGCGGCGGCGCTCTAGCCTTGGCATGTCTGCGTCTCTACTGCTCTGGGAGGAGGAAGAGAAGGAGGAAGAGGAGGAGGAGGGGGAGGAAGAGGAGAAAGGAGCAGGGGTGGGAGCTGTTGCTGAAGCTGCCACCGCAAAAGTTCTTCCCCCTCCCCCCTTCCCCTCCTCTCAAGGCCCCTAGGAAGGCTGGAGCTGTCGCCGCCTGCAGTCGGTGACCGCGCGACTCGGCGCCTGCCCGCGGTAAAGCGCTCGGCCTGGCAGGCCCGGGCCCAGGGGAGGGCGGGGGAGGGGGAGGGGGCGGCGCGCGGGGGGAGCGCGCGGCGGTAACGGCCTGACCCCGGGGGGAGCGAGCCGTGGCGAGGCTGGGGGTGGCCAGGGCACCGGCCGAGGCCGAGTGGAACGCAGGGGCTGACTGTGGGACGGGAGGAAGCAGGGCGAGGATAGTGAGTTGGGGGGTTGAAGAGGAATAATGACGGGGGTGGCGGAGGAGAGAAGGCGGCCTTCGAGGCCTGAGGGAGGTGTCAGAGGTAGGGAAGCAAGTAGGATGTTTGCACGGGGAAGCCGGAGGGTGCTGGGTGTGTGTGTGAAAAGACTAAGGAGACACCAGGTCTCTGTCCACCGTGCCTGGTGCAGTGCTTTATGCACCGCAGGCCTCAGTCAGTGTTGCTGCCTGAGTGTGCTCTTTGAGAGAAGGGAAGGGCAGGGGTTGGAGAAAAGGGAATTCTTGCAGGAAACATAGTGGGAGTGTGAACGGAGAGAGAAGCCGGAGGGAAAGATGCCGGATAGGTGGAGGAATGCAGGGGGTGGAGGAGTCTTGAGGATTCTGGGGGATGTTTATTGTGCAGATACATTAGGTATTTCGTTATGGAAAGGACTGAAGCGTTTCTAAGGAAAGGAAGACGGGATATAAGGAGTTTCCATGAATAGAAAGGATAGCGTTTGAAGCAAAAGGGAGTACTAAATATTTGAGAAGATGAAGGAAAAGCATGACAGACTAGACAGATGTGATACAGTTAATAAATGTTGGCCCAAGGACTAAAGAGTTATTCCATATGGGCCAGGAGCATAGTTCCGAACCTGTCTGGGCTCTTCTGTAGATGACATCTGGTAAGTGTGGGTCCCAGCTCTGATTGGGGTCACTGAGAATTAGACCTTAGTGTATAGTTTGACCTGAGACATTTTAGACCTTTGAAAACCCTGCAAGGACCTGCAGGGATTCTCTGGGCCAAGAGTTGAGATTTTAGCAAATTTGAAGTGGTGTTCACTTATCATAGGCTGATGAACACTATTCTGACAGATGCTAGGATGGCTTGGTGGTTTTCTTCTTCATTGCCCGGCTAATCTGGTCCCAGGGAACTGGTGTCAGGTTATCGGCCTAGGTCTGTGCATGGTGGCCCTTTTTGGAGGCTCTGTTTGTAGCTCAAGTTATTCTAGTTGGGCAGAGTGGTTCCATAACTCCAAGGCTGGTAGGAGATCTTTTGTCACTCAGTTCCTGATGCACTCTCTCACTGAGGCCTGGTGGTATTGAAGAGAATGCATCAGCAAGCAAGTGTGGGCCTGCAGAATGGACTAGTTAGAATATGTGTTTTGGTCTTAGGTTGCAGGGAGGTCAGGACTAGTTTTTGTTATCTTGAGGTCTAGGAGAACCTGAAGAGACTGGATGATTCTAGAGCCAGTTTGGAGAAAAAATTAACATCTCCATATGAGGAAATGAACCAAGCTCTATTGGATTTCTTGAGCTCCTTCTGGACCAGACCTTCAAGAGGGAACTCTGGCTAAAACCATGTTCTTAAATTTACCTGAAAATGATTCACATTTTATTAGGAAAGATTACATACACATTACATCGTAATGTTTCTTTTGAGGAGAGTAGCAAGCGTGTTGAGCATGAAAAATCTTTTTATGCAAGTAGAGGGGAGAGGGATTAATGGAGAAGATAGGAAGAGATTTGGGAGAGGAAAGGGAAAATTCAGGCATTTAGCAAATATCAGTGAATATCTAAAGGATTCTTTAAAATAGAATGAAGAGGGGCTTTCTTATTAAAAGATTCTTAGAGTTATAATCCAGGATTGTTACTTTTGGAAAACTTTCTAAATCAAGACACTTAGATACACACATTCTTTTTCAGGGCTTTGTTAGTATTGATCTGCCCATTTTTATTGTCATCTCCAGTATAAGAAGGCCTGTTTTCCTTCCCTTCCCCTCACTAGCTTTGGATATTATCAAAGTTTTTAATTTTGTAAATTTAATGGCTTTATAAATAGTATGTACCTTTCCGCCCTTTTTAAATTACTATGAAAATAAGGCATTTATGTAGCTAAAAAATAATTGTTCTGAGAGGGCTTGTAATGAATACTGATAGCCCACCTGTCTACTGCAGTCCCATTCTCTAGAGGCCACTGCTTCTCAGTATTGATTTTTGTACTTCTTATCATCCATGTCTCTAAGTAATATATACATACTATCATTTTTGGTTTATTGAAATGACATTATCTTTTGACTTCTTACCATGAATAAAAAGGATTTGAAGCACTGACATTATCTCCTTTCTTCTTTCCCTTTCCAGTCTTTGATAGTTACTATTTTAGTTCTCTTATTGGATGTCTTTTATGTCTTTAAATATAATACTTACATCTTGATTTCAGATTCCAGCAACCTTAGGCTGTATCACTTGACTTTACCGCTATATTGGATGAGAATTTAGGCTAGGAAGGGCTTTCCTAAAGTAGAGAGTGCCTTGAATCAAATAGGAAAAAGTGGGTTACATGATAAAGGGAAGTTTGATGGATGGACCTGTAAGAATGGCTGTGTTGTAGGAAACAACATCTTTGCAGCATAAGGGTTGCTGGTTAGAGATGAGGGGGAATTGCTTGAAAATGGTAATTGTTCATGTTGGAATTAGTTACCAGGTTGACTGCAATGTTCTTCAATAGACTTCTGGCGAGTTTTGGTGGGGAATCTGAGAGTGGGTTAAAGTGGTCCTTGAGTGTTCTTTCCACTGGCAATTCTTGTTTTCAGGAAGAAATAGATTGGTGTGGGCATGATTGTTTCTTTTTTGGGAAGCAATGGGAAATTGTGATAAGAAAGAGAGGAGAACAGGAGACAGGGTATGATGACCAAACCAAACCCACTGCCATCAAGTCGATTCGGACTCACAGATACCCTATAGGACAGAGTAGCATTACCCCATGGTGTTTTTTTTTTTTAAATTTTTGTGATTTGGGTGAAAGTTTACAGAGCAAATTCATTTTCCATACAGCAGTTCATACACATTTTGTTTCATGACATTGACTGCAATTCCCCACTATGTAACAGCTCTCTTCCCACTTCCTCCCCATAGTTACCTTTTCCCTGTGTCCTTCCCTTTTGTGTGCTCCAGCCTCCCCCACTTCCAGGTGTCTCCTTGTGCATATACCACTCCCAAGTAGTATATCTGTCTGATGTATGTTCAGCCCATATGCCTGTCTGTTTGGCTGGAAGGCACAGGAGTGAGTTCAGTTCCAGACCTGATGGGTAGCTAGGGGCTGTAGTCTCAGGGGTCTCACCAGGCTCTATCAGACTAGCAAACCTGGTCCCTTAGGGTTTCAAATGCTGTAAATCTTTGCAGAAGCAGAATGCTGCGTCTTTCTCCCATGGAGCGACTGGTGGGTTTGAACTGCCAACTTTTTGGGTAGCAGCCAAATGCTTTTAACCACTGTGCCACTAGAGCTCCTTGGGTATGATGAAGATAGTGATAATTTTGTGGCAGCCTGAAGAAACTGTAAGGAATTCTGAGGACATTTGGATATAGTTGATGTGAAGGAGATTTAAATTACAGTGATGAGACAGATTTGTGACAGTTGTAAGGAAATTAGCATATTTAAATCACTGATATGTTGGGGATATATTGGAATAAATATATGCTGCTCATATATTAGTATTTTTTTTTTTTTAAAAAAAAACCCAAACTTACTGCCATCGAGTTGGACCTGACTCATAGCAACCCCTCCTTGGGTTTCCAAGGCAGTATCACCACGGAAATAGATTGCTCAACTTACCTTCTGAGGAGTGGCTGGTGGGTTTGAACCACCAGCCTTCATATATTAGTATGTTGTTGTTGTTGTTGTGTTGTTGTTGTTATGTGCCGTCGAGTCAGCCCCGACTCATAGCGACCCCTCCTTGGGTTTCCAAGGCA